AGTTACTTTTATAGCTGCTTGTTGCTACATCAATTCACTTGTTTAACTTTTCTCTCCTGCAAACTTCAAATCTGTTCAGATCCATTTAACTTTTCCAAGATCTCCTAAATCTGATGCTAATCTTGGGATTTTGTGTTCTGGTACAGATTTTATGGTTTCCTTAAGAAAATGTTTTTCAATGTTTCTAATTCTGTCTTTATGCAATTGATTACCTGCATTGTATTTCTGTGGTGTAAGAAGATATATCTGTGTATCTGATAGCGTAGCACACACAGCTGGATCTGATGGCCCACAGCAGCAGAAGAGCGCGACACGGCGCCATTTCTCCCAGCGAAGAGGAAGAAACTGAAGCTACAATTCATACAAGTTCACCAAAATACATGGGAAAAACATTCATGTGCTTCTGCTGGTTTAATGGGGTGAACAATATTTCCTCGACACACTGTGGAGACCCTATTATCACCTGACCACCTAATAAACACCACAGTATTACTGCCTCTGCATTCCTGCTGACCATGTCTGTCCCTTAGCAGCATTATGAGTCATGTTGCAAAGCTCAGATCATCACAAACCTGTCCTTGAATATGACAGCGAGTTCATCGTCCTCCAGATCTCAATCCAACAGGGAACCTTTGGACTGGTGGTGCAATACAAACAAGATTTACAGTATGGTCAGTCTTGAAAATGAGATCTAGATCTCAGTGGGGTTTTACCTGGTTAAATAGAGGACATTTAAAAAATAAATAAAATAATTGTAATTAGTTTTTCTGCCACACATGATCGATTGGCAGCGCTAAGATCCTCCCCCGTCTTTTGATTGGTTGTTTCTGACCGGGAGAGATAAATTTATGGCAATAGTAGCTCAGGAAAGAGGTGGAGGAGCTTATCCTTTTTTTTTTTTTTTTACAGATTATCAATCTTATATTATACTGCATATTTTTACATGTTTTATAAAACTTGTAAAAAAAAAAACAAAACACACTTTTAATAAAAGTTACAAACTGCAGCTTCAATACTTTTGCAAAGGAATCGTATATCAGGTTTCTGCTTCACGCTCCATAATGTGTTAGGAATATCTGAAGTGTTTTAAACCGAGCTCGGGGAAAGGACGCCTTGGTGAGCGATTGAAATCCTCAGACGGAGCCATAATGAACATTGTCTACCTGCAGATGAGAGGCTGCAGCTCTGAAAAACAAACATATCCTGCACTACATTGAGAAACTGCTTCCAGATGTGCACTCTTGCAGACTCTGTACCAGCAGAGCCAATGACACAGATACAGCATGCGTAGTCACACTGAGAAAACTGTCGGGTCACAATGTTCTGGGCGGAGTGGCGGCGTCAGCCCGGCTCCGCGGGGAGCCAGAGTCTAACTTTAACCAACCCAGCGCACCCCCCCACCCCCCCCTCCCATCGCCCTCACGCTCTCTCTCCATCTTTGGGCGATCCCCACGCCCAGATCGCCCCCGTCGAGAGCGTCACGGCTCAGACCGAGCAGCATCTCTCATCGCTTGCTGTTGCCATGGTAACTCCGTTTTCCAGAAGCCTCCAGTCTGGGTATCCATACAATGAGCGGTCTCTCATGGAGACAGCGATTTGAGTGAGAGGCACTCAGACACGATGTCCACCTGTGCGCGCGCGACGATTCGCCGCTTTTCTTTCCCCAATATTTTCTGGGAACAAATTAGGTTGTCGGCGTTTCCCTGTCGTCTGAGAGAAACGTTGGGTGTTTATTCTGTGGAGCCAGGCTCGTCGTGACCGTGCTGCTGACAACCGCTTCACTTACATTTAAACACAACATGCCTCTGACAAATGAATAGGCTCCATTTGAAGGCTGATTAACCCCACGCACAGAGCAGGAAGTGGCAGGTTCCCACTCCCTTCGCCCTGCCATGAACACTGCTCTGTGTATCCCCAACCTTAATTATTCATGTCCCACTTACCCCCGACAAATTATATCCAGAGCTCACTCAAATCCCGTACTCTTTTGTCTCAGGCCATTTCGGTGTAACAGTGGAAAATTAAGATGTTGTTGTGACGAATGCATTTTAGGTCCGAACCAGTCGCATCGTTTCGTCTGCTTTATTAAAAAGCCGTGAATTCATCATGAACTGTGTCTGTTTGAGGAATAATTGTGTAATTCGGCAGAATGGGGCAAAAATAGTGAAAGTACTCGCACCTAAATGAAAGGAGATGAAGTTGATAATTAGGTTTTCTTTGTAAAACACATGAAGACTGTGACTGAATTACTTTAGTATCAACTTCTACTGATGTCTCAGAAATTTTCCAGACGTCTGTCACGCTGTTTATTGTCTCGGTGTATCTTAGAAAATGCTGATTATGGTAACAAAGATGAGGAAGTAAAGCAGATCCAGTTCTGTTATGTATATCAGGAGTTTGCGACCTCTGGCTCCACTGAGGCTCAAACAAATCCAGACGATAAATGTTTTAAATGTAAACGGTGGTTTAAGCATTTCTTATGTGGAACTTTATGTATTATCTGCATAGAATATAACAACAGAAAGGCATCAATGGTACAAAGTTAATTTTTTTACCTTTAAATATTGATTTATATTTATTAATTTTCCATATTTGTGAAAAAGGCTCACTTGGTTGATCTCTGCTGAACTCGACAAATTAGTTGTTTTTTTTTCTATTGTAAAAGTTAGATGATTTGTTTTGTTCTCAAATTTCACAAATAAAATTAATTAATTTTAGTTTAAGTTCCTTAGCTTTTGAAATAAAAAAAAATGAAAATCTATCTTTGTTGTAGCTCCAAACAAATTTTATTTTGTAGTAGCTGGAGCAAAAGTGGATGAAAAAGGCAGCTGGCCCCTGCTGCATATGAAACTGTGAACTGTTGATGTGAAGTAAATTTACTTTCTGAGAGAGGGAGTATATTATCAAAGATTTTTCTTTCTTACAGCCATTTTCATTCAAAACTTCAGTTCCTATTAATATGTGACTTATTTTTTTGTAAAACATATAAATAAAACATGCAGTCTGTGACTGCGTCAGGAAAGAATAAATTACTTTTTCCTGCGATGTTGTGCTTTTGTTCTTTCCTCATAATTGCCCAACCAACTTGGGCTTAAAGTTTGATGTTTTAAACACAATCACTAACAAGTTCCCCAAAAACTGACAGATTAATTAAAAGGCATTTTATCTGCTGTTAGAGTGGCTTCAAGCATCCGTCATGCCGAGGTGAGTTAATCTTCATCAGCACAGACAAAGTATCTGCATAGTAAAGCAATACATTAACAAATGCTGTCAGTTTATTGCTATATCATGAGTGAAACATTTGCTGATTCCTTAGCTGTGGCACACACACGTACTGTTTATATGAGATGTTTCATTATTTAGTTAAAGAAGTGCATCTTCAAAAACCATACAAATGTGAGACAGAGCCAAAATCATCTAAAGGCTATATTCACTTTGTTTCTTTTGATAGGCTACAGAAATGTCTAATATAATAATCATGAAGAGAAAAGCACATCAATATACTGTATTATAACAGCTGGAAAGTGAGGATATTTTTACTCTTACACAACATTTTTATGATGTAACGAGCTAGTTTAGAAATAAGTGAATGAATAAGACTGAATCCATTGTGACATGTTGGAAAGATATTTGAATGTTAGAAGAAAGAAGAAGGAAATATGTGTTAAAAAAAAAACATAAATCTCAAACCGATACGGATCTCTCAGTTCTTAGTGGAGCAACACTGAATTGTTTCAGCATTCGATATCAGCACAGCTTTGTTTCATCACATCTGATTTCGGATCTGATTGCATTTCCAGTGAAATTACTACAAAGACGGAGAGGAAACGTAGAAACGTTTGAGGGAAACGAAGGCAGTTTATGCTGTACGTCCGTGTTACTGTTCTTTCACATTTCCACATGTAAAGCTTTCAGTTACAGCATATTTGTCATATGATATATATTTGTCCAAACATAAAGCATGAGCTAATATGAGATTACTGACATAACCTTAAAAGTACTTATTTTCCATGGCATTTACACAAACATAAACGAAAGAAAACTGATCAAACTGCATTAATCTGAAATAGATTCCACACAAAAACAGGTTTTTTAGGATTGTAATAATGTTAAAACAATTAATTATTGCTATTTTGATTTTAATAAACAAACCTCTGCAAAAATAAAGTGGTAAGTTTCTACCTGCCTGTGTTTATGGAGTAACACTGATTAATCAGTGACAGCTAGCCTGGAGATGGCTGCTTAGCACACGCGTCATTTGAAGTATGCCAACTCTAGTTTTAGCTAAATCCTAATAAAAGAAAGATGGCTGGTGCTTTCTTTCTACACCATCACTGTCTGTCCTTTCTTTCTGTTTTAAAAATGGAGGGAACAGTAGGAGTCTTCTTTAAGTTAGCTCACCAGTAGTGCACAGCAACAGGTGGGGGAGGGACAGTGCATTGCTGCTCTGGGCTGCATAAAGCTGGAGAAAACAAAAGTCACTCATTTTCTTTCTCTGGTGTATCTAAGATGATTTTAAAAGCCTTTTCTGAAACCGTAACTTTAAAACGTGGGTATGCCTCGATAGGATTCACCAACTCATGCCTAGTTAACCTCTTATTCTTTTAAAAACAGCCATAGTTGGCGCTTCTTAACGCTAAATTCGCATACTCTTTAAAAGTGAGTATCTAAACAAACAGAAATAATTTTGACCATTGTTGGTTTCCACCTTAAGGCAAGAAGGGGATTCAGAAATACTCTTTTCCTGCAGATGATGATGTTTTCAGCTCTGCAGAGTGTGCTGGTAATGATCCAGTCATGCAGGCAGCTTGCCTTACCTTCCTCCTCACTCGAACCCCTCTCCACAGCCGGATAGAGAGGAGGTGTGGTGTTGGCGCCCGGTGAGCCCGTTGTACTTTTGGTGAAAATCCCACTGATGAACTTGAGCATCTTGCGATCGCGAGGCGGGGGAGCCCGCTGGATTGTTGTTCCTCCTTGGCTCTCCTTCGCCTTCCTCGGGTCTTCACAGTAAGAGTGCAGGTCAACATTGTCAAGGGTACAACTTGTTCCTTTCCTTGGAGGCCTGCAAACGTCGGGGGCGGGGGGCGCGGGTAAAGACACGGAAACCGCCTTGTACCTCTCCCCCTGAGGGCTCTCCCGGGCCATTACGCCCGAAAAGCCTCCGCTGATGGGGGCGCCGGGCCGGATGAGCGTGCCTCTGCCGTCGCTGTCCGCCCAGGACGCCCTGTAAGGCCCCAGAGTCGTAGCTGCCACTAAGGGGGACTGGTCCGCGATGCGGTTGTCCCTTCGATCCAGAGTTTTACCCGGGTGATACAGGCTTGTGTTGGTCTCTCTGAGCTCCCTGGAGTAAGAGGAGTTCCCTCCTGCATGCGAACGCATCACAACCGGAGGAGGCTGGCTGATCTGCGACGGGACAGTGAACGGGAGGCTGCAGCGCGAGCGGCTGTTCAAGTCCGCTCCGTTTTCGCCCTTCAGGAACATTATGGGAGGCTCCCGGTAGAGCTCTGTCTTGGGGCGTAAGGCATCCGAGCGAGGTCCCTCCCTGCGCACACTTCCCTCGGACATTGTCCCTCCGTACACTTTGACCATTTGCCTTACAGGTGGTTGTGCAACAGACGCATCTTTGCTCTTGCCAACTGGTACAACGTCTTTCTGGGGCGCGTGCATCTCCCTCCTCTCGGCCTTCTCCCGGCTTTCATTCTTTCCGTGCACCTGTTCCACTTCCTCCTCCACCTGTGTCTTTTCTTTTTGCTCCACTTCCACATACAAAGATCCTTCTTTCTCAGGGACATCTCTCACAGCCTGCTTCTCGTCCTCCTCTGCCTCCACCTCTACCTCCTCCTCCTTCTTCCTCTTCCTAGGGCTCCCTTCCCCCTCTGGAAGGCCCTCCGTCTGGCTCCCTGCAGCATCCTCTGGCACGGCCTCAACCTTCACCAGAGTGAGGGAGATGAGGTAGGTGGTGCGTTTCTGCGTGCTGCCGGCTTGGCTCATTGAGACGGCAGACCTGAGCACGGTGGCACCTGCTCTCTGACCTCACAGCATCTGCACACCTCAGTCATGGCAGGACTGAGGCAGAGGAAACACAAGAGGCGTGAGAGATCACACTGATACTGGGTGAACTTGACAGGAATGCTACTCTCATTTTGAAATCTGATTGAGAGGGTTGTGTATGAGTTGAATTGCTAATCTTTCTGAATATATTCAAGGTGCTGACCCAGTGCTTAAACAAGTCTACACTGTTTTCTTAAATGCCTTCATTAATCCTCTTCAGTACACACTGTTACTATGCTGCCTGACACTGATTCATTCATAATCCTTCCTCTATAGATCTGATTTTCTATTAAAAAATAAAAATAGTCCCTCAAAAGAAAAAAAAATAGCCTGAAAACATGCAATACCTTTAGCCGGTTAAATATATTGAATAATTTTAGGTGAAATAGAGCCACTTCAGTACAGAATGTCTTGAATTTTCCTCTCATCATACCTTCATTTTCTCTTCCAGAAGATCCATTCACATCTCCATGAAGCTTTGATCTTATGAAGAATTCATCCAGCCATCAGATTACCGTTCATATCAAATGGCATATTAAAGAAGGCTGATAAAAATAGCTCCAGTAGATGAGCCTGAGATAAAAAAAAAATAAAAAAAAACTGGTGAAAAAAGAGCAGGAAAAAAAAAGAAAAAGGCAAAATGGTTCACTTGTCACGAAGCGTCTGGCAACAGGAGCCTCCGTTCGACAATGTCATCCATAAAATTATAAGCCCGACGTAAGGGTCACTGAGAGATGCTTGCAAACATCTGTTGTAATGTCTGCAGGAGAAGAAAAAGGAAGATTAAGTAGGCTGATTCGGGGAGCCCGAGCGGGGCTCTCTTTTTTCGCCTGTATCCCTCCTCTGGAGAGCGGCTCCTCTTGGTCACTGCATCCTCTCCTCTGAGAGCCTCGTCCAATTAGCAAGTCAATAAAATGTGTCTGTGAGGCAGAGGAAGCCCACTAGCTCACCAAAAGCCGGCCCCTCCTCCTTTTTTTTTTCTTTTTTCGTTTTCCCTCCTCCCTCCTCTTTTTTCTTGCTGCCACTGAGCCTTGCAGCTCTCCGCCACCTCGTCGTTATCCTGCTGCACAACCAGGATGCAGCGCCGGCAATCAGGCTGGAAGTGAAGGGGGGCTCGCTGTGAGGCGGCAGCAGCGATGGTGGTCCTTGCCCACGTTCATCTGATTTTATCCCGCACCGTTACAACAAACGAGCCAGGAGGGAGAGAGAGAGAGAGAGAGAAAAAGAACCGCCTCAGCTCTACTCCTGCCAGCGCATCTGCTGTCTCTAGCTCTGTCTCGCCGCTCTCTCTGTGAGCGAAGCTCCTGCTCTCTCCACTCTGAAAAACAAAGTCATTTTCCTCTGAATAATGAGGCATGTTTTACAAACTCAAGGAGGGACGATGACAGCAGTAATAAAAGTTTGTGACATGTATGAGAAGAGGAGCATGTCTGAGATAAGGGAGAAAAGATGTGCTTCAAGAACATGAATCAGACTGAATTAATTTATGATGCACATGAATCAATTACACAGATGTGAGATAATATTTTCATGAGATGAGTATTTATTCACATCCCTTGAGTTTTCTTTGAATTTTGTCATGATCAATACACAAAGTGTTATGTAATTAATTGGAATTTGACGTTTCAAACACAAACTAGTGAACGATTGTCAACGAGTGATTTGTAAACACCCTCCACCCCCTTTTACTCTGACTCACCAAAATGAAATCCTGCAACGACTGGCATCAAATGTCCCCTGTTGAACAAATGCATTTCATTTGTACAGCTGTTCTGTGAAGGTCTGTGAAGTTTGTTAGAGAATAATAAACAGCGTCATGAAGACCAGAGGAAACACAGCAGGCAGGTTAGGGAGAAGGTTGTTGAGTCGCTTAAAGCAGAGATGAGTTATAAAACTATATCCAAAGCCTTACATCTCGCACTGAGCCATTTTCACTGCTTTATCTGTAAACAGAAAAATCTGGCATAGCTGTAAACCTATAAAAACACGATTATCCACCTAAACTGGCAGGCCTGGCAGAAAAAAGTATTGTTCAGAGAGGCAGCCAAGAAATGTACTGCTCAGGTGAGGATCTGTTGACAGGACAAATATTAGTCATGCACTTTAAAGATCTGGCTTTTATGAAAGTTTGGCAGAAGAAAAAGCCATTGTTGAAAGAAAACCATTCGAAATTCTGCTTCTACTTGCCCTGAGCTGAAGCAGCTGCAGAGATGTGGTGGAAGTGACTGGACAGATGAAAATGAATGGCTTGGTCTACAAGCAAGAGAGTGAGAGAGAAAACTAAAACTGCATGTCACCCTAAATATAACTAAACATTGAAAACAATGTGGCTTTTTGGTTCTACTTCAAAATTATGCCATTGTCTGTGGCTGTGATTAGGCAAAATCTAGCAAAGTTTAAAGTTGAGAGGTGGGAGGTATTATGCAAAATCAACTTTTATGAACAAAAAAGTTGATTTTTTTGATGTAAAAAAAAAATTTTTTTTTTTTTTTTTTTTTTTTACAACATTCCCTCATCAATGTTCCCTCGTAACTTTGATGAGGGAATAACTTTACCTCATCAAAAACATACCCTGAGTGTTGCTTTAATCTCCCATAGCAACCATTCACAGGTGACTAAACTCTTGCTAATATAAAGTGCCACCTATTTACACAAAACTCCTCGTTGGAGCTGCAGTCTCCAAGCTGAGTTTCCACTTCACAGAGCAACCCGACCCCGTAACTCCCCCACTCGGCTCCTGTAGACTAGCAGCAGCAGTTAGGAAACACTTGGTGGAACTGCACATCTACTCCTTCTCAGTCCAGCACTCCTGAATATGGTGGCAAACGGCATGAAAAGCATTGTTATAAAGTGCTAAAGTGGGAGTGTCAGGAAGAGCTGGAGCTTCTTAAAGAGTCACAGGCCAATTTCAAGATGACAAATTATGAAGTCTAAGTTCTTTTAAGTGAGGTTTGATATATGCAGCATTTTTATAGCAACTGACCTTGATTGTGCTGTAATGACATAATACTGCCCCTTTAAAGTTTTGGCCAAACTTGACTGGTATTTATAACTCTTAACTTTATCCACCTTAAAAAAAATAACTCGGTTGCCCCATAACATGATGCTGCCACCACTATGTTCCACTGTGAGGATGTAGTGGTTTTACGCCAAACATAGCATTTTTAATTACGGCCTAGAACATTAAGTGTGGCTCATCACAACTAAGGACATTATTCCACAATGCTTTTCGGAGATTTATGCCGGAGTTTCATATTTTATTTGGAAAATGCGTCTCTCTTTCGGTCACACTCATTAGACTAGAAATATTGATAAACCGTATAAGGGTGACAACACACAAATAATGATGGGCCTGAAATGGACTAAAAAAAATACTGAGTTACGGAGTCTCCTCACCCTAATCATAGAGGGAATACCGTCAAATCAATCAATCAGCAACATAAACCCCGTCACAGAAAAATACATTGAAGTTAGCATCTGATCTGAGCCTCAAATTCGTTATTGAAATGAGAAGCCACGCTTTTTATGAAAACTACAAATCGCACACCTACTTCAGCTACACAGGAAGTAGGTGTTAGCTAGCAAGATGCTAGCTCAATTTAGCCTAAATAAAAATACTTTAAAAGTTATAATTTAAAGAGTTTGAAGAGGATATTTAAAAGTAAATTAAGTTAACGTCTTTTATTAACTTACCTTGGACCAGTTCATTGTGGCGCATCATATAGACGGACTTTTCCCTACTGCTGCCGGAAAAGAAGCTACAGGTACACCAGTGAGTTGTAATGTTTTTTTTTCTAATGGGTCAGCATTTGTAACTTCAAAGAATAATTTCAACTAAATTAAGTCAGTAACTTGTATTTTGTTTTTAAATGCTCCCAATGCGTCATATTTAAAGCAGAACAGCCCTGATTTGCAGGTTCAATTTGAAGCCTCGGGCTGCACATTGGTGCAGTTGGTAGTCCTGATGCTTTTTAATCCCGGCCTGGGGTCTTTCTTCATGGAGTTTGCATGTTCTGACTGATCCACTCCAAGTAACAACAGCTTCCAAACATATTTAACATTTTTATCCATGCATATTTAAAATGAACTACGAGATTTGGTTGCTGCTTGGAGACTAAAAGCTTTGAACACTGACCACAGGCATCTTGCAGACTTTCTCGGTGGAGAAAGTCTGCACGTTCTCCACCAAAAGAAAGAAAAATATTATCTTTTGGCACACAAAAGATAATATTGTTATATTATCTTTTGTGTGCCAAGAAAAAAATAGTCTGGTTCAGTTATTATGCATCGTTCACATTTATTCATTTGTATAGATCATTGTTAAAGTAAAACAGAAATTGTATCTGACAGTAATGGAATCAGGTCTGACTTATTTGTGGTCCCAGTGCTGGTTGGTTTCAGATAGTTTTCCTTCTGTAACCAAAATAAAACTTGAAATGAAATTCACAAAAAAAAAAACAAAAAAAAAAACAAAACAACACTTTTTTTTTTTAAATTACAGAGCCATGTCAGTACTATTAAAATTGTGCATGTTATTTTAACTGCTTTCTCGTGATTTGAATACAGTGGTTGTCACTAATGTTACTATAGCTAATAGGTCCTCTCAGACTTGCATTGTTCTTGGTTCAGATGGAGAAGTATCACAAAAAACATTATAAAAATCAGGGTAGGCATTTTTCAGACTAATGAGCAGCGCTGCAGATGAGACGATACCAGTCCATGCAGCTGTTTTGCATTTTTAAAACACTGGTACTGTTGGTGATCGTAACATCTGTAATTGTGAAAAGTTCAGAAGCCAGTAATGTTATCTTCTCCTCCTGATCCAGGAATATCAGAGTAAAATTTTACAACACAGGCTGTACTAAAAAGAAAATGCATTGATAAAATCCTAAGCTTAAAGACACTGTTGCATTCTTCTGCGTGTTTCTACAGTCCGATTTCAGCTTTTTTTCTCCTCCTCCTGGAAATATGGATGTTCTAGAGCTTTGAGGGCAGATATCCGTTTCAAAGGATCAAAGGTCAGCATTTGCTGTGAGGAGAAAAACAGAAAAGTGTTAGAATTGTAATATAATATCTCACTTTGTTTAACAAGACCTCAGTGTGACCGACACGTCCTTGTCGACATTAAAAGTCAGCAAGAATTGAGAAAGGAGTGTGCTAAAAGTGACAGGATCTTTTTAAGAAGCTAAAATTGGTCAGTTCACGATCCATGGAAAAATATGAGACACCCTCAGGAACTTGGCAAGTAGAGCTCAGACAACACTGGGTTTCCTATAGAAGAGTGCAGTTGCACACAAAAGTCCACATTCTGCTTGTAGGCTGGTTGCTGGGAGGGGAAAGGGAGTTGGGAAACTTTCAGGCTACGGTTAAAATGCAAAATGTTTCTTAGAAATCTGGAAAAAAAAAAAAAAAGCCCTGCATTGTATTTGGAGCACAGTAGCAATCGATGAAATATGAGGACTAAGTCCTACACAAGGTTAAAATTGCTGAGCAACAAGACAATGTGCTGCAATCTGTCCAGAAACCTCAACGCCGCCTTCCCATAATGCATTTCATAAGGTAAATAAAGTCCCAATTAATTAACTTAATTAAAGTCCCAATTGATGGAGGTACAGAAACCTCCCACATAAATCTGGTATGATAATAGGTAGGATTAAATAAGCATTCACTTCTTCTTACTGCTTTTCAAACAGAAAAGTAGAGGTAAGCCAGTTATTTGTTTCTTGGTTATCTTTGCACATATCTTCTGTTGTCCTACTGATTACTCTGTTTTCTTGCTTTTAAAAAAACGGCTTAAATAAATAAATTAATTAAATACTATAAGGAAACATAACAATGCATTATTACTGGCAGGGAGAGCAGTAAAGTCAGAAATCTTACTATTTATTATTATTTGAATTTCACAATGAAATTAGGTGTCCCATATTTGCCATGATCCAGAACATTTCCAGTGGTTTTTGAGATCCTGGAGGGCACATTTAATCTGGTGTGAAGGGCGTCTTAACAGACGTAAACAACGCTGTTCAAGTCCAGCAACTTTTTAATTACAGTTATTTTAAGAAACGCTCCATCAATCGCACTCTTCATCTTATTTAACAAGTTTGTCTGTTATCTTGATTTCAGCTCTGGATGCAGTACAAAAGTTAACCTTAATTTTTGACAATGAGGCCTACCATCAGCAGTTGAGCCCCCTGCTCATTTATCTCGGGAACAAAGTCGGTGATTGGACGCGCCTTGGGAGGGGGGAAGTTTTTTCTTTGTACTGTAACATC